CCCCCATGTCGGCTGGTCTTTTGTCTTAACCCTTGGTCCCCGCGCCGCAAACCACTAAATAGGGAAAAATGAACGTCGGACAGTATTCGAACCGACAACCTTCCGCGTCCCGAGCGCGCGCTGTACCAACTGAGCTACTGATGAGGGTTTTGCAGAGGGGAAGCTTATCTTCGCTGTGGTTCTCACCCCGAAACATATGGCTGGCAGAGGGAAAAGGGTTCCGTTGACTAGATTCGAACCAGCGACTGTTTGCGTACCGGCACGACAGATGGAGCCGACAGCGTGCGTGCTAGGGCTTGGTACGTTCGACACCACCGGCCGAGGGATCAAGTCTTGGTTTGGCCGAAAATTTTTGCGGGACCTTCTGAGTAGGTCTGGTCAGTTATGTTGTTGTTTTTTTGATTACAGACGATATTTATGAGTCGGAGAAGACGACCATGAACTCCCAAGGAATTCAGGTCGAAAGTCTTGGCGGGGGGCAGATCGTGCACGACCCTCGCGCGAGGACCATCACCATTGGGGGCATGTCACATGTGAGCAAAGAGATGACGGTGGAGGAAATGGAATGGTCCTTGTACTGGAAGTCTTGGAAATACTGAAATATCACAATTTTATTGAAATTTGTTTACAGGGGCTCGGTAAAGCTGACCATAATCTGTCAGCTGCTTTACTGTCACGGTACTATCCAGGATACAAAATTACAGTAGAAACATAGTAATATCCTGATTTGTATACAGTGTAAACAGTCTTCAAGCTCTGAATCTTGATGCAAAGCACCAAATCCGCTAAATCATAATTTAACAAGAAACAAGGATTTTTTTTATACCAAGAGCAGGTCCTGTCCAATAATTTTGTAAAAACTATTTTAAAAATGTTAATAGCAGGAATCTTAAATAACTAGTTGAGTGTTACATGATAGATTACTCATCCTCTTCCTCTAGGCTGTCTAATAACAAATCTACTCTCTGCAAATCTAAATTATTTGAATTACTGGTATTGGCAGTGCATTTGTGTTTCTTAAATGGCTTCAAAAACATAAAACCTAAGTTGCAGGTTTTACAAGTGTATTTTGTTTCCTTAGTATGAGTTCTCCTATGCTCAGTAAGAGTGTCCTTTCTAGCAAAAGACTTTGAGCATATGTCACAAATATGGGGCCGTTCGCCAGAGTGAACTTTCATGTGAGACTTCAACTGATAATTTGCAATAAAAGAAAATTTACAAATGTCACAGACAAATTTTTTTACACCAGCATGTGTTTTTTTATGCACTTGTAGCCAGCCTTTTAGTTTAAAACTTTTATCACACTCATCACATTTGAATGGTTTATCATCAGAATGAGTTACACGATGGGCATACAATCCAGCTAATGATCTTGAGGCAAAGCTACAGTGCTCACAGCTGTAGGGTTTTTCACCTGCAAAATTGGCATATTAATCACTTTTAGTCACAAATCAAACATCAATTCGTAACAAAGATATGAAAATTAAAAAAGCACATACCTGAGTGGGTCCTCATATGAAATAAGAGTCCATTTGTAGATTTAAATTTCTTTCCGCATTCATGACAAACAAAGGGGGCTATACCAAGATGTTGAATCCTATTATGGTAATAAAGACCTGCATATGAACCATATTTCTTTTGGCAGACTTTACACACATATTCTCTGGCTGAGTGAATTTTCCGGCTAAAAATTAAAACACGTGATAGCGTAATGGGAAAATTTTGCAAAAAAAAAATCATAAGATTAGAGAAAAATACTTACAGGTGACTTTTTAAGGATGACTTCCCAGAAAATCTCGAGGCACAAAGTTCACACATGTACGGTTTCTCTCCAGCATGAGTGTGCTTATGCATTTCTAGGTGTTCTTTGGTGTGATATGTTTTGTCACACAGGTCACAAGCATAGACTGCTTGAGTAAAATGAATCAGCATATAGTGTTCCCTCCAATCTTTTTCACTCCTAAATGCAATATTTTCGCAAAGGTGACATTTGAATTTGTAGTCACCTTCATTTTGTGGAGGGTTTTCAGTCATGTCTGTTGGGTGTGAAGTTTTTGAATGTACATCTAATTCTTCCAGAGACTTGAACATTGTATTACATACTTTGCAGCATCGATCTTCCTTATGTTTTTTCTTGTGACGCCATAATGAAACTCTGGATTTGAGTATGAGACCACAAACTTTACACATACATTTTGCGTTGGTATTTAGCAGGTCCTCATGTGACTTAATTATATGCTTTTCTCGCTTCTTGCTCAAAACAGAAGTATGACCACAAACAGCACAGGGATACAGTGTAAACAAACCATGTATCCTTCTGAGATGAAATTTCAAACCATGATGTTTAGGAAAAATTTTGGGACACTTTGGACACTTGACAGTTCTTAGGCGCCATGGCTTCGAATCATCATCCTGTGCAACCTCCAATGGTACATCTGAGTCTTCATCTAGAGAAGAATTCATAATGCCATCTTCACTGCTCTTCTCACTTACACAACTAGTATTGTCATCATCCTCATCGTCACCATCATCAACATCGTCAATATCATCATCATCACCATCATCGTAATCAACATTATCATCATCATTCTCAACATTACTATCACAATCGCCACCGTTATCTGAGTGTAATTCCTGTTCCTTGTCATCCTGTTGGCCTTGAGTAGTAAGGTCAACAAAGGTTTGATGATCGATCTCATTGGACTGTGCTTCTTTTATCTCTTTTGAGGCCCCTGAGGTACTCTGTTTGCTATCTTCTGAAAAGACACCAGTCTTGGGCTCCAAATTATTTGCTTCATCGTCTTTCAAGGGAGCACTTTTTGAGGTGATGTTAATTTTTAATGCCTTATGTTTTTGATGCTTGATTGTTGTACTGTTGGAGTCTTTATCCAAAATTTGTTTTGATTTTGATTTTTTCTTTGAGCTTGACACCAGGTTTAAATCATTTTCTTGGGGAACATTAATAGTTGAAATATCACTTACTGCAGTTGTTTTAGGAAGTAGCAGTCTTTTAGGGTGTGGATTTTCAATCATCTGGAAAACAAAGAAATCAGAACTTTGTTTCGGTACCACATCACATATCACACTACTGAAAGTGACAGTAAAGAAGTGAAATTTGATACCTTAAGTTTTGAATCAATGGTGAAGAGAGTACACTTTTGGTACACAACTTTTGACAAAACTCCATTGATAGATTGGCATTTAGCCTGGAAAGCAGCCCATCGATTCACTTCTTGAAGACACATGTTGCATATTTTTGATGGCAGTTCTTCACACTGACTTATCTGGTTAACGGTTTGAGAGAAATAAAACCATTGATCATAAAAGTGACAAAGAGAAGGGTTCGTGGATTTAAATTGTAGTGACACAAGTAGGAAAAAAGAAAATAGACAAACCTCAAAACCAACACAACCAGAAATTAGCTGAGGTAAGGCGAAGGCAAGAGATTTGGAAGGTTTCAAGTTTTGGAATATCTCTGAATTGTCTGGCGACATAGACAAACATAATCTACATGCTGATATTATGTCCACTACTTCTGGACGCATCATTTTAACCAATCACGACTATTTTTCGATTTGTTTGCGTTGCAGTTGATGTTTACTTTATTTTAATTTTTTTTTTTGTGCAGACGACGCTATTGCAGAAGTACCAACACGACGACATGACTAGTGGAGCCATAGAGCGAAGCATTTGAAAGGGATTGAGGCCAAAAGTCCATTCTTCGTATGTACACATATAGGATAATTAGAAGTAAAAAAATTAAAACGAAATGTAGTGTTACTGGGTCTCTGAAATGGAATTGTACTCACGACCCCTTTTTTTGTTCAAGGAGTGTAGTCCTAGAGCAGTGGACTATATAAGGGCGGCAATATTTAAATCCCCCCAAAAGTTGTAATCTAACATTTGTTAATTTTTCAACCTGTAGTTAATTTTACTCCTTATTTCGTAGCATTTTAATTGTTTTCAAGATATATAGTACAGTTCTTTGTAATAAAAAGACGAAAATAGATTACACGAAACCATCAATTTAAATGTGACATGCAGCAACAGAACATAGTATTCCAACTACTCGCACGGCTATTTACTTCTTCCTCAGTAAATTTGGAGAGATGAGAAGGCTCTTCTTCGTCGGGCCCGGTCTATCGCCTGCGACGACTGGATCTCCTGCTCCGCCTGTAGCCGAAGCGGCAGGCCGCCTCAAAGTAGGTGCGCCGCTCGGGAACACCCATGCACCTCCACCTCCTCGCCGCCATGCGGGCCACCTTGGTGACCGGCATGTCCCGCCCCATCTGCGACACGAGTGTCCGCGAGGGAAGCCCCACGAACGCCAATAATCACCCACCTTCCGTGACCACATTGTGGTCAGCCTTGGCCGCGCGCGCTTCACGCACCTGCTTGTACATGTGCACGAAGAAGTTGATGAAGGGGCTGCGCGAGACGGCCGGGGCGCGGCCGTGGAGGCCGGAGCTGCAGCGCCGGCGGCCGGAGGGCAGGGCGCTGCCCCAGTTGTAGCTGACCCCGCAGGCGCGGTAGTAGTCGAGGCGCTGGGTCTGGCTCATGGCGCGCCAGCGCCGCGCCGCCACCTTGGCGATGTACGTCACACGCCTGCCGCGCATGCCTCGCGCCACCTGGGAGGGAAGGACCAAGAGACGCCCCTTAGCGGCGTCAGCCCGCGCGCCCACCAGTCGCGTTGTGGCTCTCACCTTCAGGTAATAGTTGATGAAGGGATTTCTAGAGGTCGACTTCGTCATGGCGATTGCTCGGAAGTTCTCCTTATTGAGCAAACAAAGAGAAGCAGACTACCCGCGTTTTTTCGTCAACAGTGTCGTCCCTCTGGGATATCAATCATTTGCCATTTGAATGTGAATTGTGTTGTTTTATAATACATCGCACTTTAAAATTTTTAAAAAGCCTCCGTGGTGAGTGAGGAGATCGGGACTGTTGTTATGGATAGCCTACAGAGAGTTGAAAGTGGTATTGTTGAAGGGGTTTGTTGGGTTTGTTGGCGAATCATTACGAGAGGAGAGAGACTGGCCTATACCAGCCTATCTCAATCAATGATCTCAATCTTCTTAGATGGTCATTTTACCGGCTTTCACAGTATAAAAAGAAAAAATCGAGGGTAGTTCCTGGCTGGTGTAGTCAAACCAGTTTTGGTCAGCTCACTAACCTACTGCTAACACAGAACTTCAAGGACAGGAAAAGAAAGGCATAGGCTTAAAGTCTTCATCTTTATTGCTCATTGAAATTTATCAGTCATAGTGTTACAGGCAGTGAAGAATAATCACAAATTAAGCTTAGTTAAGTTAGGAGAGTTGATCCCTGAGCGCTTTCGCCAGCCAGACATTCATGGGCTCTCGCGTTTCGCTCTCGGGTTATCTCTTTTAAGTAAAGATTTTGTCAGATAATGGGGGGGGGGCTAGACTACACAAATCAAACAGAATAGAAGCATCTAAAGTCATTTCAAAACATTCTTTTATGGCATCAAAAATTCTTGTTCGCAAACCTAGAAGTTTCAGCATCACAGTTAATAAAACTCTTGATTGTAGTCAGTCTGATATGCTGTGATAATTGCAGTCAGGAAATAATTTAGGATTTGTATGGACTCTCATTACATTTAAGTACACAATAAATAAATGGGAATCCTTCATCCTTGATAATTGGGGAAGCTGTACCAGCTTAACACATACAACAGCTTTGGCACACATGAAATTTTTGAAACTTCAGACAGATTAGATTTATCACTAGAGCCCATTTGTTAAGTTGATTCTTGAGCACTACAAAATCATAAAATTACAGGATCCACAGCACCACAATAGTGCACATGCTAGGCTGATCAAAAAGCAACAGAGCATAAAGATAAACTCAAATCAAACATAAACCCATTGCCCTAAAATATCATATTTATAAAGCTATATATAAATATTGCACTCAACAAAATGTCATCGTAAAAACCAAAGTTCATGCATTGTGAAAACACAATAGATATTGCATAAATAACAATAATTATTATCATCAAAATGTTACATACACATTCACAAGTTCATAATAAATGTCTCTTTGCAGTGTTATGAAGTATTCTACCACGGGTAAATCTTGAATCCCTAATTCTAATATTAGAAGATCCATTGTCTTTGAGCTTAAAAGAGCAAAGGTATATATATTTTTCAGGTAAATAAAAGATCTCTGATTTCATTGACTCCAACACAATACAATTTACAAAGACTTCACTACACTAAAGATGCAAAATAGCTGCTAACAAAATTATTGCAGGCATCTGGAAGGATGTGGGCACAGTAACTCTTAATTTGTACATTCACAAAACAGCTTTCTATAATCTTAAGAATAAAAGTTCTACTGCTGACTATACAAATATAACAACACAATTTGGTTCATTGAATAAATCAGTCTCATCCTGGTTGCTAATCAAATAAATTGTGGTAAGGAATAGTGGTAACAATCTCTACAAAAATACCCTGAAAATATTACAATATATGACATGAGCTGCAGCAAGAGAGCTACCATCTACCCTTCTCTTTGTCAAATAAGATCAACAGCATCACATTGCTCTACAGTGCATAAAATTGAGAAAGCATCATAGACCCCTTAAAAATAACACAGATTAAATTGTAAATTTCCACCAAAAATTAGTTGTATGAGGAGTTTTTCACATAATTCATTCAACTAGATGTAATTTGTTCGATATATGGTGGTACAGGGTTTTGGTAGAACTATGACATAATTTTCAAAAGTGATGTGGGAAAAAAAAAACAGGCTAACATCTATGTTGTTAATAGAAACCATATCATTCTGCTTGTCTAGACTGACATGACACCACATTAAATTTCCATTGGGGAAAATCTTTAGGTAAATGAAGTCGAAAGAATACTACATAAACAAGATAAAGTGACTGAAGAAAATTAGGCTGCTACCTCACCAAAATTCATGTGACCAGTCTCTTTAGCATGCACTTGAGCTTCTGTTTGCCCTTTGAGGAATGACTGGCATATAAGGCACTTAAGTGTAAATTTATCAACATCTGTGAACTGACGACTAGATTGAGCTTCAAGAGCAAGCTGACGAGCCTTCTCCAGCATTGTTTCATCATCGACTTGAAACATGGTTTGGATAGTGCCATCAGGCTGCAAAAAACATTTTTAAAAGTGTTTAATTTGTAGTATTTTATAACACCAGAAAAGAAAAAAAAAAGTAAGAAGCAAATGGTTTAAAACGAAATTGCACTTACTGTTAAGGGTTCAAGGAATAGGGGATCATAGTGAATTCCATCAAAAATGAGGAATATACGGTTACCGAAAGACTTGTCTTCACCAAAACGGTTTACAATGGCATTTATAGTATCCACTACAGCCATCTCCATCCCATAAAAGTTGGATAAAATTGATAACTCAATGGCACCACCCCAAGAGTCTGTTTTCTGGATCCAGGTGCAGTAATCTTTGTTAGGCTTTCCCAAAATAGCTTCAGAGTACGTTTCAGGGTCTGATCCGACAGCTTCAGCAATGATTTTCCGCATGTACTGCCCACAAGTCGGATCAACCTTACCTAAAATGTTTGAAAACATAAGAATGCTTTAATACACAACTATTGAAGAAAAAACAATAATGTCAAATCATAGTTTTCAATCAATGTATGTAATTGGAAAACCTTGCTTACCATTCAAAACATAACCAATACTAGTGAAAAGACACGAATTGTCTGACGGGACAACTTTGCGCATGAGAATTCCAGGACAGTTCAGTTGGCTTTCAGCAATGTGTGCGTATTGTGTCTCCTGCTCCATTTTTTTGGCAGCAATTTTCTCTTTTGCTTCACTATTTAACTTCTCTTCAACAATGAGAGTATCTCCAGATGAAATACCCAAGGCCTCCAGAGTAATACTATTGTCACTCAGATTGACAGATTTAGGGGGGAAACCAGCCAGGACATTAATATCACTTGGTTTTATACTAAACAGTTCTGAGAGCTGTTGCTTGAGCTCTGAGGCTGTGCTGTGAGCTGTCAAACCTTTCACTATGTTTTGTCCTCCCTTGCATTTAACCTTTAAAGCGAATCCTGCCATTATCAAATCTTTATAATACAAGAAGAAATCCGACCCAAAACCTGATATTTAAAATGCTTTTACATACAAAACAAGTATACTGCTAGGTTATGATTATGATAAGGTTAGAGACACTACTAAAAACGTATAAAAGCTCACAAAATCAAATTTTCGATGACGATCCAAAGTTGAAATCAATACTCTCTGACAAATTAATAATGGGCGGTATTTCTTAAGCCGCAAAATAACTATTGACGGTTCTTATTTCTGAAATATGGGAATGACAAGAGAGTAACCCAATAACAAGAGAGACAGAGAGGGAGATATTAGCAGAAGGCAGAAGCAGAAAGCAGACAAAGGACAGACAGCTTGGTCCCCTTCGTAAAGGCGGTGAGAATAGAATAGGGAAGAGTGAGGGAAATTTTGAATTCTCAATTCAAATTTTGATCTCCCTCCACCAAGCCTCCATTCTCGTACAAAGTACTTTCTTCGATGTTATAATCCTCATAACTCATAATTCGTCTTTGGATTCTGTTTGTGGTAGTTGCCATTAAACTTTCTGTGTCAAAAGCCCAATGGATGTGATATTGAATAAAATACAACAGGAGGTTCAATTTTGGTTTTATTTTCTATAGGTACCAGTTATTGAACATCAGACAAATTAAGAATATATATTGTCATACATCATGAATCTATGAATCTCAAGTGGTAACAAAGGAGCACAAAAACAAAGCCTGATACTAATTCTGTACTTTCAAGAGTGTAAATAATGTGATTTCCAATGAGCAAGCAAGCACTTAACCAGTTGTAGGCACTACATTAGGTATTTTGGGATGTCTCCTAGGAGATTTAAAATTTGCTAGACCACAAAATATATTCATATAAAACTTGATCAAACCCAGATTGTGGAATTTAGTTTTTTATTGTGTGGCTTTAAGGAACAAATATGAGCTTGTCTGAAGTAGTTGAATATAGTACCACTGCGGAATGTATGGTGTCTGCATGTGCAGAAATTTTATTTGGTGTAAATCAAAGTCATGAACTACTACACCAAAAGCTAAATTGTAAAACTAACTTAACAACTGATGCTGATGAACTGAACTGTTAAATATTGAAATAAAATGAGAATAAGGATCAATAAGTGGTGTTTAAGAAAACCATTCAAATATTTCTGATGTGTGGATAAAGATGGAATGTCACATAATTTTGTTTTAATAATCAGTATTTCATAAATGAAATATCAATAGGAACACATTTAAAGGGCCTAATCACAAAGAATGGTAGTCATTTACAAATTCCAAAACACTTTAACATTCACGACACATCTAAGTCATTCTATGAGACAAAAATGATCACACAATAATGCTATGTCATAATTGAATTTCACTTTTAACATTATAGAGATAACTATGCGCAAACATGTAAAAATATACGAAATTTATGATCCACAACATAAAACGCAATTCAACAAACAATGATTCTGTAACTTATAAAATTGACCACAGTCTCTCTAGTTCATCCTCTTAATCATTAGATACATACATAAATTAATATGTATACTTAAAATAAAAGGATATGGGTAAATCACAAGCTCATTCTGACTAATAATACTACAATCTAGTCTCATATTACAGAATTGTACAATACATATTTTCAATGTGTGTGCATTAAGCAAGCTAAAGCACTTAGTAATTACAAAACAAGAACAAGAGAGATTCATTATTTTACAAATTAAAAAATTCATTCTTCATTTAAAGCTTAAGGCACTTTTCATTCAGAAAACAACATTGCAGTATTTAACACACATAAGATCAAAATATAAAAGATTTTAAAAACTTGAAAAGTTTATTCATTTTAATTACAAGGTAGCAAAACTGTGCATAGGTGTATCATAATTAATAATAATTGAAGTCATATCAATAGAATGCTGTACAACCACTAGGGTTCATATATAAAGGCAACTATTATCACAAGCCAGGGATACTGTTGTACCCCAAAAAATTCAAGACTTGCCAAGTCTCTTGAAATATCATATCACAGAACTGCATGAGGTGCATGCATAGCAACACAAAATTAAACTTTAAAATAACAAAAGAAAAAAGTACAACTCAAAGTGGCATAATGAGAAAAGGTTCAAACAAGAATACCTATATTAAAAGTCCATTTCCATATTGCGTGATAAACGATTACTGTCTATATGCCTGCGTTGGGAACGACGGACGGCATCAGCTCGTCGATACGGTTCACTTTTTAGACCTAGAAGGATATCTTCAAGTGCACCATTGTAAACTTCGTCTTGCTGCAGCAACTTCTTTTCTTGGACAGCTCGAGTTTTGTGCTTCAACTCATTAATGACAGCATCCTGAAAGAAAAGGCAAAGAAGTCATTACTATTAAGTTCACAATTTTTATTATCAGATGACAGACATGCATGAACAATACAATGGAAAAATGGTAACTACAAAGATATCATGACATGACAAACCACACACCCAAAACAACACCAGAAATATGCAGGGAAAAAGAATCACAGTAAAAAAAAAAAAAGAAAAACCCTCCAGTGAAATCTGAGAACCAAGAATGTAATGTGCTGCAAATTTATCACTGAGTACCATGATGTGTTTCCTACAACCCGCCAAAAAATGTTTAAAGAGACCTAAAAAACTACTCTTGGTTTCTGTTTAAAAACAAAACTTCAAAAAATAGTTTATAAAAAACGGTGAAAGAGCATGTTACTCATGCATACAGACAAGGAAGGTGAAGAACTCATCACATCAATCATGAATCACATATTAGCTAATTCGTAATTATGCATACAGTATATACACATAATGAATTCAAAATCTACTACTGTAAGGGGGAAAAAGCATGCTTTTCAAAAGAATACTGTATTTTAAAACATGATTCAAAATGCAAACAAATACAATCGAAACCTGGACTCCGAATTTAGAAACGTCAAATCAACTAAATCATGCAGACCCACTTACGGCTGCTTTCACGTCAATATAACTTCTATCTCGCTAGTCCAGTGTGAGGTGCATATACTTTTGCGTGAGGGTGACTGGGAACACTGGGATGTTGAAGTGCTGCACAAGCAAAGCGGTTGCAAGAACCTAGTCAAAATCTCAGCATTTTGCACACCATTCCCCCACATTTGAAGCATGCAGCGCGCAGATGATGGGACACATAACAAATAAATTCCAATGCTGTGACTGAACACACATCAATCCTTTCCAAAGACAACATTAAAATTACATAATAATATTCCTCATGAGATTTCTTCATGAGAGAATATATTCAACAATCAAACTCTAAAATATTGTAGATAATATTTCAGGTCTGATCATTAACATCATGCAGCCAAATTTGTCAAGCAACATGTACCCCTAGGAAATTATATCCAAAAGTTTAAAAATATTCTTCCTTTGCTTTGCCTTTGCAGTCTCCATCTCTATTTGTCAAAGTAATGAGAAAATTTCCAGAATAAATGAATGAAATCAACTAAACAGAAAGCTCACCTGTTGTTTTTTCTGGTTCAGTTTATTTCGCCGTAGAACTTCTTGATTAGTAGGGCCTGTATTTTGGTCCATGTGCTGCTTTGATGCCAAAGCAGCCTGTTCAAGGCGAAGACGCTGTTCATTCTCCTGATCAGCCATCTAGGGATATTTAATAGAACACATAATTACATAGAGAAATGAAAAACAAGAAAATACTTTTACTATATAAAAATGCTCTTACCTTGAAAGAACGTGCAAACCTAACAAATAATGGGAAAAATGCATTGGCATCTGTTGAGCGAGGGGATTCTCCAAAAAGTTCAACACAGTCGCGGAAAGTTTCTTGAGCATTTTTCACATCGGTTTTTAATCTTCGTAATTTTTCCTCTGCATTTCCTAAGAAGTCCCTCAGAACTAATGATGCACCATTATTTGCAGCATTACTAACAGCGCTTGGGTTGTTCCCTCTTTGTTCTGCCTCACGCCGGACCACTTCCATGCCTTTTTCAAGCTCAGCCAAATCGGTGAGAACATTTTCCAAAGACACTGCAGGAGAAATGAAAATGAAATGTGTACTGTTAAAACCTTTTAAAGCTGGAAAATAGGTCTATGAACCACACTCTATGTCCGGATAAAATATATAATAGGTATTATTTATATTTACCTGTAGCTGCTTTGTCAATATATAATAGCTCTGACTCAAAGTTCAAAAGATCTGGGAACTTAGAGCGAACTGTTTGGGCTATGTAGTGTAATAGAGACTGACGTCTATCTGCACTTTTGGTATCCAGTAAACAATCTAATGATTGAAGCTTAAAACCATATGCGGGACCTCTTTTCCCACTGTTCAAATAGTTTCCAAATGCAAGAATAACTTCAAGAACTCGTTTCAATTTTGTAGAATTCTTCACCATACTTGCTGCAGATATAATGGCATGCACTTGCTGCAAAAGAGAAGAAAAAATTACTGAACAGTTCAATAAAAGATGTTAAAAAAATAAAAAAGAGAAATTAACTCACTGGGGTTATCAGATGAACATTGTCAAAGAAATTTCCAACATAGCTCATTATAGTTAATTTTGTTGTAAGTCTCTCAACACGACTAAGTTGCAGCAAAAATTTGTCTTCTTCAGTTAACATGTTTATGTCCTTCTTCTCTGCAACATATTCACGATACGCTTTTGTCTAAGTAAAAAAAAAAAAATTGTTAAAGATAGTAACACTTATTTTAAAATTTATTTATAAAATGATTGAAATTAATTAAGACCTCTTGTTCAGTTGGACACATTCGCTGCAATATTTCAACACTTTCCAAAGGTAATGTCTTTAGGTCCAAACAATTGACTGCAGTAATCACTTTGTCAACACTCATGTCCATTCGACGACGAGATATAGCTGTAAAAGAGTAGACAATATTAAGAACTAAAAATCTTGCTGATCCAGAAGGCATAGATGAAACCAATGAAAAAGTATAAAAGATTTGTACCAATATTCCTTAGTCTTGTGTGTTCCAAAAGGGAAACATTTTCAGGCTTCTTAAATCGTTTACTGGGGAAAGCAGTCAGACCGTCAGTTTCAGACTTATCACCTGCTGCTACTGCTGGCCCTACACCAAGCTTGAATCTTTCTTCAAAGTCTGTGAAGTCTATCAAGGAATGCAATTTATCGTCATCCAGTTCATTGAAGACTGTTCCTCTCACCTGCCAAAGAGTTGATTGGTAAATTGCTAGTTTGTAAAACTGTCATAATACCAAATGAAAATTGTCACTGACCTGATTTGGCTTAAGAGCAACCCAATTAAGAGTTGGTAATTTGTATTTTGTTTGTACCTTCCTCTTGATTGTCATAGCTCCATCTGGAGCAGCCATTAGCCCTGGAGGAGGCGGTATGGGGACGGGGGGTGCTGGTGGAGGAGGAGAGTTTGAAGTCTGAGGTAGGGGAGGAGGTGGTGGACAGGGTGGAGGTGGTGGAGGGGGCGGAGGTGCAGGTGCTGGAGGCGCAGGAGGAACAGGTGGAGATGAGGACGATGAAAAGGAAGAGAATGAGTTGCTAGACCCCATACTGACTCCACTGCTGCTACCTAAAAAGCATAACAAAAATTGGGTATTTATAACAGCTCATAACAGAATAGGAACAAAAAATGGATTTATTATGGGTAGGGACTAACTATCTGGTCTTGGCAGGGTTCTAGTAAGGGTCTCCAGCTCTTGAATTTTATTTTCCAAAACTGATTGTCTATTATGGGCATCTTGCTGGTGTTGCTGAGCAGTTCGCCTCAGTGTTTGAAGCTCTGTTGATAATTCATCACGTTCAGATCTTAGTTGAACTAATTCACTTTCTAAGGAAGCTAGCTTACATAAACACTCCCTTTCTGAAGCTGCTAGTCTGTCATGGGCCTGCAGAACATAACAAAAAATTAAAACATTTGGAACTTTGAGGTTTCTCTTTAAATGATTTAGGTACTGGTAGATAGTTGACTCACATGACCAAGTTCATCTTCTAGTTCGGCAACTTTCTCTAAGGCAGCAGTTTTTGTTTCACTGTCTTCCATTAATGCAGCAACATCAAAGACATTGTCAAGGTAGGCTGATATTTGTACTTGAAGCTCTTCACTTTCTGTATGACGAAGCTTTTCCAGATATTCATCAAATCCTAGTTTTGTAAACTCATACTGAAGATGGACACGGAAATTCATGTCTTCCACTGAATGAACCACAATATTAACAAATTGCATACAAGCAACCTACAGAGAAATGAATGTTAACCAAATTAGTGTATATATGAACCTTTATAATTCACCATTTACCATCTCTTTTATACTTACCATAAATTCTATATGAAATACTTCATAATTAATGAAATAGTCCATAAGTGTCTGAAACCGTCTAGTTTCATGACAAACCTCTTTAAAATTGTCGAAGGCAGAGAGAATTATCTCATGGCCTCCCTTGACTAGACATATAGCAGCAAGCAGCTCCAAAACTAAAGCTTTAGTTCTTAAGCTTTTATGCATTAGACTGAGAGCTATACAATTGATAGCCTCTCTGTGTTGTATCACCATATTAAATCCATACTGAAATGAATTTGATGAAATAGATTAGAATATCTTACAAAATGAGCTATATTTGAAAAATGTAATTTTAACTTACTTTATTGTTCATAATGGCACGTAGGCACATAATGCAAACATGGATATCATCTTTAGCATCACCCATGCGTAACTTTGCCATGTGGCGGGATCTGCGTTTCATAGCAGGACTGTCCAGAATGTCCAAAGCTGGGCGTAGGTGACCATTATGAGTATTAGGGCCATTACTGGAAGATAAGGTACTTCCAGCAGCTGTAAAGACATGAAATACCATGTTTAACTTTGAAGGATTAATTTACAAGTGAAAGATGAACACATACTTCCCATTTCCACACCCAGATACTTACGTGAATTAATGCGTTCCTCGGAATTAGCTCTTGACTCTGTTTGCCGTTGCTCATGCCTCATCATAACAAGTCGGAAACTAAGGTAGTCTATTAGTGAGTCCAATCCTTGGTTTTGGTCATCTAAAAATTCTCTAACCCACCTGAAAAGAGTAAAATATTATTACGGTACTGTTCGTCAGTGTATTAAATATGATTTTAAAAAAATACACTCACTCAATATGATTAGTTCTTAGTGATATCTCAAGATCTCGCAAAACTTGGGTAGAAGTTGCATCTCCAACCATCTTACGTTTCTGAAACAGATATCAAGTTAAGTTCAGAGATGTAAATTTTTAAATAATTTGTCCAATTTGATTTTTCCTTAACACCTACTCCAAAAGCAGAATATTTCAACAAACGAAAAGAGAAAATAGTAAAAAAAACATAGGGATATCTATATAATTAGATAAAATAAAGGATGGTAGGGAAGTAATGCGCAAAGGTTTGGGGTTTGTAGAGTACACATGAGGCAGAATTCTAGAAACCTCAAGGGAAAGAGGGATGAGGGTAAGCTCCAGCAAAATTCAAGTTCAAGTTGTACTCTACCAGTTAGTTGTACACAATACAATATAATGATTTACACAAATGCTGGAATGCATGCTGACCGATACCATCACATTGGCGGTTAAAAGAAAGATGAAACCAACACACCAAAACCAAAAACAATGCAAAGAAAAAATAAATCAGCTGTAGTAAATGATGTCAACATGAAGAATACATGAGGTCGATTTGACATGTTAATTTGAGGAGCATCACAACAAAAAAATCTTGCAGCAAGTTCATGAACAGGGATGATAAGTGACACATTTTTATACGGGTTCGAATCGACACCCGGCCCGGTACACCTAGGCAAAGCCAAAAACAAAGGAAACAAACAAAAAAAGAAAACCTAGACTGCAGAAAAGGGCTGAGCGAGGCGATGCGAGGCGAAACGGAGAAGGGTGGCCATGGAGCAAGGCGACGGGCGGAGGGACAAGAGGTGTCCACCTGGGTGACCAACCAGGGAGCGTGTTACCTGGCACGGAGCGCTGCAGGAACGGGGACGACAGAACAGGACCAGAAGGCTGGAAGTGTGATCCAGGCACGCCTGCACAACAACAGCAACGTGTCACGGTGTGAGGTGAGGGACAGTCGGAGCGTACGGGAGGGTTGGTTCAAAGGGTGGCAGGGGCCGGAGAGAATACTACGGAGATTAGGAAAAGGGAGGGTGCGAGGAGTGGCGGGGGCGGGGTGTCAAGGAAAGGACTTCCCCGACCCACTTCACGGATAGTTCAAGAAGAGTGTAGTCGTGCCGTTGACGTTAAGTTCCCCTGGAAATGGGTTAAACGGCAGAAGACGAGGGGCACTCATCAACGAGGACAGACAGACAGAAGGCTTGAGCCCCTCTTCCCCAGTGTCGCAGGCTGCTGCAGTCTTCTCCGTCACCTGTCGCACAGTGTCACACAGTGTCACACGTCCCGTCGTCACGTCGCGTCGTGTGTCACGGCCGTCACACCGGGGGAAGGGAGGAGATACTCACCCGGGAGCTCCTCGAGGCCTTGGGGTCCAGGTACGTGCGCAGCTTCGTGAGGTAGTGTCCGGGCGGGTCTTTGGCCTGGACGCGTTCCTGAAACGAAACAAAACAAACAACGGTAAGAAGACTTTAATCGAAAGCAAAACTTTCAGCAGAGGGGAGTACCACACAATTTTAAGGGAAAACGCCAAGAAAATAAAGACAGCCATATCAGAGCCACTTTCTTTGACAGAGTAGTAATGTAACGAGTGATATCAAGAGTGGTGGGCCGAGCTGACCCACTTCCGCTAACTGCGACCCAGGGACGCTATGGCCACTGCGGCGCGACGGGGCCACGGGCCGGGCCGCCGGACTGGGCCCGGGCTACGTAGCTAGGCGTAGCTAACCTTAGCTAACCGAATGCGGCAATTACAGCACGGCCAGCGCGGGACCGGCTCGACGACAGCGCGCAGACCTTAGCGGGCAGCACGGCTCACAAGGATCTGTCTCATCCTCTTATAGGAGGAGGCCATAGCAGAGGGCGCCCAGCCAGCAACCCCCAGCAGCTTTCAGGCACCGGCGCGGCCGCCACTTTCTGGCAGTGCAGCCAGCACCCCCGCCCCGCCCCGCCCCGCCACGGCCCGCGCTGCACCGCTCGGCTGATGGATGGGAGGGAAGGCCCAGCCCGGCGCGGCCCAGCGCGGCCCGCACGGTAATGGTCGTTGTAATTGACCGGCCGACTCCTCATCTCGATACGGGCCCGAGCGTTAGCCTGCACCGCGCCACGCCCCACGGAGCCCTTCTCTCTCTCTCTCTCCCTCTTTGTCGGTACGGGACGTAGACGCAAATCTATGAGAAATAGCCCGGGCAATCGATACACACAGACGAATGCGATCGCTTTGGCCGCTCCACCCGCGGCGGCCGCGCGGACTACAACCAACCCGACCTTTTTCACGGAGTTCTCTTTCA